CCCCCTCACGCGTGCGCTGCCTCTCTGTTTTTCCTTCTCTCTCTCTCTCTCTCTCTCTCTCTCTCTCTCTCTCTCTCTCTCTCTCTCTCTCTCTCTCTCTCTCTCTCTCGTGTATGGCTTGTTTACACAAATAGACTTCGTGTATGGCTTGTTTACACGAATAGACACTTGGTGTATGGCTTGTTTATAACAGCCCTCCAATATGGCCGCCGGTAGTGCATTGTGGGTAATTGCTCAAAGGACGGAGCCCTCTATTGACTTTCCAAGTTCCAACTAGTCCAGAATATCATCAACACAACGACAAAGACCAACATGGTGAGACAGCACCTGATCAAGGTACCCAGAGAGTTGTATTTTTTCGGTGGGACTGTACTTGTAAAGTTGAGAGCCACTTCAGTCGAAGGTTTGTCATTCCTATTGGTCACCAGGAGACGGGGCCCTTACGTTTCGTAAAGAGCTTGTCAACACCGTCGACGACGGGCGCGAGCCTCTTGCGAGTTTGCGGTCGAATTTTACAATGATTCTTACTGCTGTTAGCTGACATTGGAAAGCGAAATCGGGTTTATTGTTTCCCCTTGCCAAAGGCAGGCCCTCTGCTGGAGTTTGAGACCGAAATGTTTTTGACATGTTGATCGATATACAGTGAATACTTTGAGGAGGAAAAGTTATCGGGGCCCTCAGAAAGTCATCCGATGTTTCCTCCCCAATATGAAACGAAGTTTGATTTCACCGCGATCCTTTGGGTTTTGCAGGTTCTTCAGCCCCCGGCCCTGTTGGGACCAGCAGCGAGCACCCCGCAAGCATCCAGACGAGACTTGCGTCTCAACTATTCCCGCGGAGTTGCCCTGATCAACAAAGGATCTTGAAACAATGAATAAAGTTGGCTTGCACATTTTGGTAGTGTGTGTAATGGGTGTTTTATTTGCAGTTTATTCACGATCGCCAAGAACATGGGTGTCAAACAAATGGCCCGCGGGCCGGAACCGGCCCACAAGGAGGTTTGATCAAGCCCGCAGGATAATTTAAAAGTAAGGCGTTTTTAGCCGAAAAAAACGACCATGTCTAGTAAGGCATTTTAACCCGAAAAAAACGACCATGGATAGTAAGGCTTTTAGCCGAAAAAAAAAACATGTATAGTAAGGCGTTTTTAGCCGAAAAAAACGTGCATGTGTAGTCAGGCGTTTTTATCCAAAAAAAACGACCATGTACAGTAAGGCGTTTTTAGCCGAAAAAACGACCATGTATCGTAAGGCGTTTTTAGCCGAAAAAAACGACCGAAAAAGTCATAATGTTACCAGAAAAAAGGGAGTAACATTGCGAAAAAGCTACTGTATGATTTTACATACCTGAAAAATTCACATTGTTTTAGTGGAAAAAAAGACCATATATAGGAAGATGTTTTTAGCGAAAGAAAGGACCATGTATAGTAAGGCGTTTTTAGCCGACAAAAAGGACCATGTATAGTAAGGCGTTTTTTGCCAAAAAAAACGACCATGTATAGTAAGGCGTTTTAACGCGAAAAAAACGACCATGTATAGTAAGGCGTTTTTAGCCGAAAAAAACGACCATGTATAGGAAGGCATTTTTAGCCCAAAAAAACGACAATGTATGTATAGTAAGGCGTTTTAACACGAAAAAAACGACCATGTATAGTAAGGC